TCATGTGATACAAAATATTCCCTTTGGAAAGCCATAAAAAAGAACAACAGACCGATTGTCTATCAACCACCTATACGCAAAATCGACAACTCATGGGCAAAAAGCGATATTGAAAAAGCAGAAACATTTGCGTTACATTTGGACCAGGTCTTTAAATCAAATGATAACCAAAATATGCCTGATGTCATGAATGAAAGGATTAATTTTCTACAAGAGCCTTATCAATTGGAACTTCCAATTAAAAGATATACTATTAATGAAGTTAGAGATGTAATAACAAAGTTAAAAGTAAAAAAAGCTCCAGGATACGATTTAATCACAGGCATGGCCTTGCAGCAGCTTCCACCAAAAGGATTTGTATTTCTGACTCATCTGTTTAACGCTGTGATAAGGGGATTTATTCCGCCACAGTGAAAGATAGCGCAAATCTCCATGATACCGAAACCAGGGAAAAGCCCAGAAGACGTCAAATCATATCGCCCAATAAGTCTACTTCCAATTCCGTCGAAAATTATGGAAATCCTGTTTCTAAAGCGCCTTACACCGATTAACCAACAAAACACCCTCATCCCTGACCATCAATTCGGCTTTCGCCAAAAACATAGCACAATAGAACAAATTCATAGACTTGTCAGACATATCCATAGTGCGATAGATCGTAAAAAATATTGCAATGCGGCATTTACAGATATTTCACAAGCTTTTGATCGAGTATGACATAAGGGCCTTCTTTTCAAACTAAAACTGAATCTACCCCTACATTTTTTCATATTTATTAAATCGTACCTCTCGGCAAGCCACTTTTTGATTAAGTAAGTATAATGGAACCAATGCTTTATCTCATATACTGAGGATCTTCTCCTTACCGATAAGAGTGTTATCGGTACAATTTGCTTCCACCAAACTTTAAACCTGCCTTAAAAAATGTTGCTCTCTTAATGAAAAATTAGCGTATCAAACCAAATTAATCAAAATCTGTCCAAGTAATATTTACTACAAAATGTTCTACATGCTCGCCTGTTTTAATAAACAATACACAATTACCACAAGCTGTAGAAACAAAATACTTGGGCATACATCTGGATAGTAAGCTAACCTGGAAATCACACATATTCAAAAAGCGTAAGGCCCTGGGTCTTAAGTTACGAAACTTATTTTGGTCCCTCAGCCGAAACTCCAACTGTCACTCGACAATAAGAAGCTTATATACAATTCTGTACTAAAACCTATATGGAGTTATGGGGCCCAATTATGGGGTACTGCAGCAGACTCAAACCTGGCAATTATCCAGCGTTTTCAATCTAGAACACTACGTATGATCACAAATGCACCTTGGTATATAACGAATGAACAGCTGCATAAACAATTACGTTCATCGCATATATATGCACCCAAACTCGCTGATTACACACCTGATGTCCCCTTCCAACACTTTTACAAGCCTGAGAAGGAAAACATCGAGAGACATTTTAGATATGTATATATAGGCCACACTAGGGTGGCTCAGAAAAACTAAAATGCGATTTTTAATGAGCGCACCCCCTAGGAATATGCCATTTACCAAAAAAATGATATTCCCAAAGTTTTGGACCAATAGGATTAAAAATGACGTTGCGCCACTCGAGCAAAGTTGGGTTTTCAGTACAAAAAACAGAAATTTTTCATTTCAATGTCATTTTGTATCTTTTATCTTATTTCAACAGTTATTAATATATACTCATTTGATAGATAATTAAAATATCTTTTTAATAAGATACTGATGAGCAAAATCGGTTAAAAATTATGCGCAAAACACAATAATTAGTTGAGCGACGTTGCTCTGTTTTCTATTCCATAACTTTTAGCTGGCATGCACAATTACTTAATAGGTATATGCTTCAATTTAGTTAACTATTTACAAAAAATTATAATTTCAAGAAAACTCTTTTTTTCAATAATTAATAATGTTTATTATGTTTTATAACATAAATCTGACTATGCGAAGGATAATTTTTATGATAATATTCGACTACTTGCAGAACATATTGTTTCTTCTCCTCATATTTTGTCAAAATCGAATTATAATCCATCATAAGCCTAATTCCTCTTTCTATACAATCATTACCACATGAAGTCTGGCACAGAATTCAAGTGCATCTCTATAATCTTGAGTTTCCATCCATGGCGAAGGATCGAAACTAATAAAACTATTAGATAGGCAAAAACGATCCAAAAAATTTGTTATCTCTTCTGTCACGAAATCAATAAGGTTCTTTGAGGAAAATTACTTCATTAGCGGGTTCCCACTCTTTATCTAACCAGAGAGACTGGTAACTCTACAGTTACTATCTACACAGATGGCTCAAAGATGGAAGGTTGTACGGGAGCAGGAATCTTCTCGAAAGATATGCAGATAAGACAGTGCTACTGAATCTTTGTTACTTACAGTGTCTTTCACGGCGAGATATATGCTATCGAAAAAGTGGTCAACATTATACAACAAAGTACAATTCGTCCTTCGAATATCACGATTTTTGTAGATAGGCCGCACTGAAAGCAATAGAATCTAAATTCCAAGATAGTATTAAAATGCCGCTATTCACTGATGAGCATCAAACATCATAAGGTCTCTCTTTGTTGGGCCTAGTACATTTCGAATACTTGGACATAGCAATATTGAAGGAAATGAACTAGCAGATGAGATGATCAGAAGAGGTTCTGAATTGCATACCGGAGAGGCCGACCTCTCAATATACACACCGATACGTAAACTGTTTAGGATAATAGAGGAAATCAATACGGTGACTAACAATTTATAAACTAACTGCGAAGACTGTAAGGTCGCTAGAATTTTATGGCCCAAGTTGGACAAAAATAAAACGAAAAGGCTTTTAGGCTTCAGCAAACCTGCATTTCGTGTGCTTTCTGGAGTACTAAAGGGGCACTGTGCCATTGCGCCTATGTTCCAATGGTGGCGAGTTCCAACAAGTGGTTTATGCAGAAGTTGCCAAGATGAAGAGGAGGTAAAATCTATCAACCACTTCCTGTGTCTCTGTCCAGGACTTCAAACAAGGCTATTTTAATGTCTTGGGGATCCTTATTTTACTGGCTTGGAAGAGATAACGAAAGCAAATTTATCAGATCTCCTCAACTTCATCTGGAAAACCAAATGGTTTAACAAGGATAACAAAAGTTAGCAACCCCCATCTCCTGGTAAAATTTTTTGAGGGCAATGGGCAATATATGTCTCTGAGTAGAAGTGCTGACAACTGTCAGCACGTGCCTTCCGAACATAACCTAACCTAGTGTGGGTTAAAATTTTCACACATATGCTCACCATAAAAATGTATATATCTCGTACTAATCATCTGAGTTATATGTAAATTGATCTCTTAAAATATAAAATTTTAGTAAGTACATGGTTTTCGCCATCCATCGAGAATCTTGGATGGCACCTGGGCGCCACAGCTAACCATACCTACAACTACAAAATATGTATAGCGTAGCGATCCGAAACCTTGCATTTGTCAAGGGCGGAAACTAAACTAGGTGTAATAAATTCAATCGTTCTGTCTGCGTTATCTCAATTTTGTTGAACTGTGACTAAAGATTCAGCTTCCATTTTGAGACAAATTTCTTCATCGAATTCATTTCAATTAAAATCAATGAAATTTTTAGCCGCTCTTGCTTTGTTTGCTAAAAGGATATTAACTTCAGTCATACTCCCTGTATGACCATTTTCTTTTTTCTTACGAAAAAATTCTTGTTTTAACTACATTTTCAATTCTATTTAAATGTCTATATAAATTATTAAGTAGAAATGTATTATTTTTATTTTTTATTTATGTTTCTTCCGTTTCTTGTAAACATTTGCGATTGCATTGTGCATGCCAGCTAAACGGTATGAAATAGAAAACAGAGCACAGTCGCTCAACTAATTATTGTGTCTTGCGCATAATTTTTAACCGATTTTGCTTATCAGTATCTTATTAAAAAGATATTTTAATTATCTATCAATGGAGTATATATTAATAACTGTTGAGACAAGTAACAAAGATAAAAAGTGACCTTGAATTGAAAAATTTCTGTTTTTTGTACTGAAAACCCAACTTTGCTCGAGTGGCGCAACGTCATTTTTAATCCTATTGGTCCAAAACTTTGGGAATATCATTTTTAAGGCCAATGGCATATTCCTAGGGGGTGCGCTCATTCAAAACTTCATTTTTAATTTTCCCCCTTATAACGTGAGCCACCTTAAGGCCACACACTTCTATTTTAAATATATATGGATATGTCACTGGGCATAGTTCATACGCACCTTTCTTTAGATCGCAATAACTATTATTACGATTTATATTTATATATATTACTTATTGTCATTTATACCTGACAGGTTGTAATAAAATAAATGGATTTAAAAAAAAAAAATTTGATCATTGTGTATTTAGGATAGATAAACTATAATCTGAGCATGTACAGCACTTAACCTTCTTTATCACTAAAAATAAATTTCGCCAAATGTAAACTATTTTTTCATAATCTATGTAAACTGTAAACTGTAAACAGTAAATACAGTCCACTAAAAATACAAATGTAAATATTGTAATTAGAAACATAGAACACATGCTCAATAGGATTATTTTTATCAATTAATTATTAAGATAATTTTAAGACAAAAATTGTATATAAACCGTAGATTTTAAGAAATAAATCAGTATCGAACGAATACTCCATCTTTCATTTTCAATTTTTTTCTTTTCCTTACACCAATATAGTTGAACCTTTATAGATAGACTTATTAAATGCCCAATAGATACTTTAATCAAGGCAGTTACTATGAAAATATTGCTGAAATATTGGTAGGTATTTCAAAACAGTGTTTCAATATACCAAAACTCTACTACGTTTCACTTCTGTTTATAGAGTATAATACCAACCTAAAAAATTTAAATTAATACTCAAATTAATTGATTTAAATTTTTTTATTTTTAAACATAAACATTTGAAATAATATTACTTTCAAGCTACAAATAAAAAAAACATATACATATCGACTTCAAGTACTTAATTTAAGAGATGTTATGTTGAGGATGCCGTACTTCAAAGCGAAATATGTAAAAATAATACAATCATATTTTATATACATTAAACTAACTGATCCGCAGTTCCCTAGCTAAAAAGAATGAAAAAATAAACAAATAGTCCATATTCGAATGATGATGAACGATAACGATAGAGTTTGGTATAAATATGCATAAACAATCAATCAATCAAAAGTTAATAACTACTTTGTAAAAATAGCTAATATATTAAAGGTATATTAGTATCTTAATTATCTTATTAAAAATGTATATACAATTTTTTTTTGTATTATGCGGTTACGAGCTCGATTCGTTCACAAATACATTAACTGAGAACGAACATAAAGTTTCGCCCTTTTTACCAATAGCTTTTGCCTGATATTGGCCAACATCTTCGATACTGCTTTTAACAATCGAGAATGTATACAAGTTGCCATCTTTAGTAAATGAGTAGCGCGAGCTGGTCTCATTTACACTTTTACCATCCTTTAACCAACAAAGCTGTAGAATTTCGTCTTGTGTCTCACAAACAAATTTGCAGGTTTCAGATTCTTGTACAGTTACTGACGATGGATATTTGGTAAAACTTGGTTGCTTTGGTTCTTCACCAGGTACTAGAACATTTATTGTGCACGTACTGAATGATTCCCCTGCATCATTAAAAGCTTCGCAAGTGTAAGTGCCACAGTCTTCAGGAAAGATTTCAGCTATTTGTAATTTATATATATTAGCCTCATTGGTGTAATTAAAATCTTTACTAGGCTTTATTTCTTTATTATTGTGCAGCCAAACGACATCAAAATGTTCAGCACCAATAATGCGGCAAGCTAAAGTGACGGTTTCCCCGTCTTTAACGTATCTGGATTCCAAATGACTAACAATTTTTGGTGGTTTATCAGCTGAAATGTTGCGTTTGGTTGAATTTGTGTCCGTAGCTGAAAATTTGAAAATTAAAAGATATGTTTATTATTGGTTTTGTTTGTACATATTATTTGATTGCGAAAAATAATTAATAAAATTATTACGAATTTGAGTAACACCTTTTACCAAATGGCTTTCAGTCTAAAATATATATATGCATACATGAAAGAGATAACGAATGGAAGACGACAATATTCTGAAAAGATGATCTTTCTAATGAAGAGTCAGAAGATAATCTAGTGTGCTATATAGGTTATAGGTTATAAAAAATGCTTAAAAACTGTAAGTCCCCCTAGGATGGAAAGTAAAACTGCAGGACTGTAGAAGTTTTAAATCACAGCAATATAACTTATTCATATAAGCTTTTCAAAGGAATGGGAATGGAAAGAACAACTTCAGAAGAGCAACTAAAAGGTTTAGTAGAATCTGCGCATAAAAATTAGCTTATGATAGAATGAATGATAAAAGAGCTTATAAAAAACTAAATAGGGATAACATTTCTTAGCCTGTGCTACAAAAATTATCATATCATCATGTTATCATATTAAATTTGCTTAAAACAACGCGGCGCCCGTTCTTGAAAAATATCAGATTCATCGGATTCAGATCCAACACATCATCAGTTGATCAAGCGTGTCTCAAGCAGAAAATAGAAAAATACAAGGAGCATATTATAAATATACGCATTCTCTTCGTTAATCTAAAATAAGTTTTTGATAGTATTAACATAAAGAAAGTTCCAGTAACTTTTAAAGAATTGGTGGAAATATACTAGTCAAGTAGACTGGTGAGGATGACTCTAAGGTATAGGAGCGGCTTTTGAAATTAATAGCTAATAAAAAGATTATATAGCTGGTAATATAGAATAAAAAGAAGAAAAACACCCATGAACGATTGTCAACAAAGCGAAAGCAGGGAAAATTGACCTTATAGTGAATGAGAAGAAAAAAAGTTCACGGAATATCAAAATTGGATGAAAACGCAAAATTGAAAATATCAAAGTATGAAATTACACAGTAGAAGGATTGGATACATTTAAATATCTTAGGGTGCTGATAAATAATATTAAAGAAATCAGGGATATCTTGAGTCTTCTAAGTTCTGCCACGGGGTCTTACACTTCATACAAAAACGTAACTTATCCTATTCTAATATATGGGTCTGAATTGTGAACTCTAATAACACAAGATGAAAATCTTTTACTTGTTTTATAAAAAATACTACTAATTATTTATAGCTTGTACCGAGGTTGAGAAGTCTGCAGAGAAGAAGAGAAACAATAATGAGTTCTAAGTTCGATCTAAAGAAAAAAGTGTAATAAGGTTGATAAAAGTGCGTAACACCTCTAATGAGCGGAGTATGTCTTAGGAATAGAATAATGCCATTCACGAAGACAGTTATTATTGTATGCGTCGATAAGCAATATGACGCAAGGTAGGCTCAGATAAAAATGGGTCGCCTATGTAATGGTATTAGAAAAATGCAAGTGTGTAATTGGAAGCATAAAATAAAAAATAAAATCCCATGCAGGGACATCTTTAACTGTGCAAAAACTTTTTCAACACTTCAACATCCACGGTACAGATTGAAAAATTCATAAATATGTATGATTTTGTATGATTAAGCTAAAGCTCACTTCGAGCTATTTGATGATGAAAGACTCGCCCTCAGATCGAAACGGAATAACTTCTTATTTTGCGGATTATACATTTGGTTTGTATTGAAATAAATAAAAATGGAAAAATGGTTCCTAATTTAAACGTATTCTTTATATAAATTGGTTTTCATACTCAGTTTTATTAAAATCAAAGTGCACTGTATATTCTGAAAACACACAATTAATAAATTTATCAATCAATTCTTGATTTTTTTAAAGAGGTTTACTTTCTTACATGTCAAAATCATAAATTTTTCAGCTGTCTTGAATTCTACTTCAAATCATAAAGGCGTATATATTTTAAAAAAAGTGTCTTATTAAAATTAATATTAAAAAAATAATAAATTATATAATTTTTTGAAATTATAAATTTAAAAAAAAAAAATTTCAAATTAATTACATAGGTATTATAAATATTATTTCCCACTTACGTTTTACAGTTAGCTTGCATTTTGTTTCTACGGCACTAATTGAATTCGTTGCAGTACACGTATACACCCCATCATCTTCTGGGAAAACCTCATGAATTGTTAATGAAGCAACACCATTTTTATATTTCAGATCCATTATATCAGACGACGAAATAGTTTTCCCATTTTTAGACCACGTGATGTGTGGTTCAGGATCACCTTTTACATGACAGGTCAGTGTCAATTGATCACCATCGCGAACACTTGTGTTAGTTAAGGGCTTGGTGAATTCTGGTTTGCACATCAACGAGTCATCAGGAGGCACTAAATTTCAAATATATTATTAAATATTATTTTCAAAATACGCATATACCCATATTACGTACGTATCAATTCTTTTGTTGCACTACGGGATCTTGAAGGACTGTCTGGTGTTTTTAAATTGTTGCCTACATACTTTTTTTTATTGCTACTATTACCAATTGTTTGAATTGTTGAGGAACTTGTTTCGTCGATCTGAGCAGCAATATAAATACATTTCCAAATAAATTTTAGATCTTAAAATCAAATTTGATTATACTCACCTTACTCCCGTTAAATGTCGAGTAGTTTGAGCTTTGTTGTGTTTTGGAATTAGAGCTATTGTGGTATTGACTAGTTGCCGAAGTAAACTGCTGTCGAGTTACAATGGGCGGAGGAGCTGGCTTAATAGGCTGTTCAATGTATTTCCGATCTATATAGTAGGCAAATGTCATTAATTAATTCACAATAAAGAAAATGTTAATAAGTTGTGAAGGTGATTATTTAAAGAGGATTTCGTTAGAAAAACCACATGCATATCAAATTAGGTATTACTCCATACTATTTGGTTAGTTCAAACACAAATTTTGTTAAATTTTGGTTTGGTCCTAATTACACATGTATAGCAATTGACCGTTCACATTATATTCATTAAGTTCAAATTAAGGTTAAACGAAAGGAATCATCATTTTTTGCCGAAGAGATCAGTTAGATTTTTTATTTAACACATTTCAGTGAGTAAGTGTGCAATATTAAAAGTATTATTAAATTTTTATAGTTTGTTTACCTCCTGAGTACAGAAAATTGTGAGCAAGTTCGGCTTGCTCGGGCGTAACCCATTCTCCTACAAAAATTATATAATTTGCTTTAAATATGTATTTTTATGAAACTGAAACAAACTAATATAAATGTACTTATATAATAGTTAAAAGTAGATAGATATGGTTTCAATTGCTGTGAAACATATTATATTAACCGACAAAATATTCATTTGAAGGAAAAATATGATAAATGTTCTGATATTCTGAATTAAGGCGTTTGATTAACGCATACCAACTCACCAACTGTGAGTGATATATTTATGTACATATATCACTATGACTATACAAAAGTCACAAAGCTAATGTGTTATTAACTTTTACATTAGAATTAATCAAGCAACATTAAATAAGTATTTGTTTTTTCTGGGCTTAACATATACACACTAATATTAGGTTATATTAGTGTTATCTTTTATTTGGAAGGTTTTTATAAAGGAAACATTTTATTTATTTATACAAATATTTCGATTTATTGCATTCCGTTTTTTTAATTCGGTCATTTTATTTGATTCAATATATAAAAAGTATTACCAAAAGCCCTTGAAAAAACAAATACTTATAAACAATTTGTACATCAGAATTGTGGTTTATTGTAATATCAATAAACATGAAAAAACTTCTGTATTAAAAACAACGTCTCTCGCTTTCCAAATAAATCAATGAATATGGTTGGAATAATGAGAAATACCTCTTGCTTGTTGGTGATGAGGTAGAGAATCACCCAAACTAAATTTAGTTTTGGATGTCGAGACTTTAAATCGACGACTGCAAACTCAAATTCAATTTCCAACAGCAAGTAAACATATTGATTTTATATATATGAATGCTTGGATATAAGGGTTTTGAGTGCTGTCAGCAAATCAAATATTAAGAAAATAGTCAACACAATAGTCAGCTAAGTTAGATCAGGAATCACTTCAAACATGTAAAGAAATCAAAATAGCTGCGGGCTAAGATAGTTACATAAAGTAATTGTAACCTTTTTTCAGATAGCATGACACCGCTGCAGTTAGGGGTAAGACAAAAAATCAAAATCTAATAGCTGGTGAACAATATCTTCAAATATTGTTAAATTGAAAGATGAAGGTCGTTACAAGAAATTCGAGTAAAAGGAAAGCTGCTTTCATTTGAAAGAAAAACTCTTCCTAAACTGACAGTACAACCATAAGCGACCTTAAGGTGCAATTTTTACACTATTGCTGCAACAACACTTTCATCGTTGCGGTTGCTGAGGTAAATTCAGTCTCACCAGAATAGTTGCACGTAATTTAATAATTGTCACGAAAATATTCTAAAGTTTAAGGATTTTTATCTAGTTTATTATTTTTAAGTCAAAGTTCAGTTAGTTCTTCTTGATTCTTCTTCTTGAGTTAATGCTATTACGCACTTTTAGTCTATAATGGCTGGGGGGCTTATCTCTACCCCACACTAGGCTTTAACTAGACAAAGAAATCATATAATTTATTTCTCTTTTAGTTGATGACGGACATTAAATCAGCATATCTTCCTGAGAGTCCAGAAGTTTAGTTAGTTAAAAGTAAAAGAAAATTGATTAACTTTATATTGGACACTAGATATGTTTTATGTATGCGGAAATTGTCACCAATTACCGTACGTGAAACGAACAAGTTACTAAATGGTTTGTAGCTTCCCTCGACCCTGTTGGTTTATTTACAATAGATATACTTTTCGTACGTGGCTTATTTATAATGACTTCTAATTCCGCGGACCATGTTCAACGTTTCTATGATTTTCTTTCGTTATGGTTGTTTGGCTTCCGTAGTACACTCTTAGGTCAGAAATATGTATATTTATTAGCTTGCCCGTGCTTGTTAATTGGAGGTGTACTATTTCGGATGATATGAAGTCTTGTACATAGTATGGCTCTTCATATTTTGGTGCCCGTTTCGCTGTAAAACCATTCGCGGCTTTCACAAGCATTAATTGATTTATCTGGAGTTTCCATTTCCTTTGATGTCGATTATAGTATTTGACTTTCGTCATCGCAAAAGTACATAGATTTTATTTGATTCCCTGAAAAATTTTTGTAGTTTATATGCTCTTGCTAAATGTGATGTAGTGGTTGTACCGTTTTCTGTCGTGCATTCACGAAGAGAGTTGCGGGTATATATACTATACTTAAAGTATATATATATATATATATATATATATACTATTATTAAATCCGACCGAATTGATAAAGTATCCGAGACTAAGTTTTGTTTGCCCCGTCGGTATTGTATATCGAATTGATACTGCTGTGATATTTAAGCCCAACGAGCGTTGCAACGTGCGATTTTTCTTCCAGAAATTCGTTCATACAGATAATTTGTTTATCTTTGGTTAGACATAGTTGAGTAAAAGATCTTTGGGTTAACGTATCACCTAATATTTTTCGTTTGACATGCTGTGTTCTCCAATTTGATGGTCGTCCCCATAATTTTCAGCAAGTTAAGTTCAA